TCATTCCATCCATAATAGTTTCTTTATTTCAAAAGTACAGACTATATTGCTTACTGAGGTTTGCTTTGTATTTGAAATTCCTGTCTTGTTATTTTTCATAACCTGCTTTTCCTCTTTTGGTTACAAATAAAGAGGTAGCGAGCATGATTGATTGATCTGTATTTATTTATTTATTTTAAAAGATTTTATTTATTTATTTGACAGAGACAGAGCAAGAGAGGGAACACAAGCAGGGGGAGTGGGAGAGGGAGAAGCAGGCTTTCCGCGGAGCAGGGAGCTGAGGAACCTGGGATCATGACCTGAGCCTAAGGCAGACGCTTAACGACTGAGCCACCCAGACGTCCCTAAGCCTTTTCTTTTCATACATTTATGTCTTACCTGCTCAAGGAGATTTAATGCTCCAGGAAGGCTAGGCAGGTCTTCCTGTTTCCCATTTTTTTTTTCTCTTATACTAGGATTCTACATGCCTGGTTTTTAGCTTCTGATTAATCATATAGTTCTCAAAAACAAAGATAGAAGATTAAAATTTTTCACATATTCCCTCTTCGATCTAAATCATACTTGCAGGGCTCCTGGGTGGCTCAGTCGTTAAGCGTCTACCTTCAGCTCAGGTCATGATCCCAGGGTCCTGAGATCAAGCCCTGCATCGGGCTCCCTGCTCCACAGAAAGCCTGCTTCTCCCTCTCCCACTCCCCCTGCTTCTGTTCCCTCTCTAGCTGTGTCTCTCTCTGTCAAATAAATAAATAAAATCTTTAAAAAAAAAAAAAAAGGCTTAGATAGCCTATGATAAATTTTATTTGACAGAATACTTGCATAAACAGGGCTTTGCATGTGCAGAAAATGAAACATAAACAATTGACATTTATTTAAAAGGAGAGAGTGATAAGTGAATTCTGAGGATAAGAAAACTGGAAACCCAAGCTTCATGAGGGCAGGTACTATGTCTGTTCACCATTGCCTGCTCAGTGCCTGCCGCTGTCCTGGTAGGTGGTAGGCTGTCAGTTAATATGTATTAAATAAATATGTATTTGTTGAACAAACTGAAGAGTGCCTTGAAGGAGATAATATTTGGGCAGAGATGAGGTGGAAAGGCTTGAGAAAATAGTAGGAGGTAGAAGTGATGACTAAATACATCAGAATACCAATGTGGCTGGAGCTGAGAGAATGAGCACAAAGCTCTGGAAAATAAGGCTGCTAATGGTAACTTGGAGCCAAATTATAAGCAACTTTGATTATTGGACTTAAGAATTTGGGATTTGTTTTTTAAACAAAGTAGAATTTCTCTGAATAGATGGTAGCATTGTCAAAAAGCAGTGTTTTAGGAATAGTCTGAAAAAACACAGTGGAGGTTGCTGTGAGGAAGAGACTGGAGACCAAGTTTGGGACCATTTGTGATGTTGGATAGGAATTCTTGGGACACTAGTTATGTCCTATAAAATTATTAATATTTTCTTCTATGTAATGTATTACATAAAGATGCTTTTCAAGCCCTAGTGTTTGAACATAATGACATAGCTGTCTTTTTCAGTATTTATTTAATTTTCCATGGTATTTTGTTATTGATCTCATGGCTTTTCTGTGAGATCATGGTATAAATTTTGAATACATTTGTTCTTCCCTTATTTGCTTTTTGTTAATGTCAAGCATAGCACACGAGCCATTTCTTGTTGCTATGCAACTGCTAAATTCAATATTTAATATTCATAAAACTGAGTAGCATTAAATTCATTTAACAGAGGGTAGCAGAATATGGCTTTATAGTTTCTAATTGATAATATTTGTGAGGTTTAACGTATGTTACAGATATGAGCAAAATAGGGGTGACCTGTTTACAGTTGCTTTTTTGATCAGAATTATTATGTTTAAAGCACCAGTCTTTTTCTTGTTTGATTCCTTTTGGTCTTTTCCCTTTCATGGCTTTTTGATAGGTGATTCAGTTTTTGCTAGTGTCTGTGTGTTATTGATGAAGTTTTTATTTTCTTATTTCAGGTTCTGTTATCTTTTGTAATGTTTATAAATTTCTTTTTCAAAGCTTTTTTTTGTTCTGAGTATTATTTCTTGCTATATTTACATTTTTCCTTTTCAGGAGTTTATACTTGTAAGTTTGGAATTTGTTGTAATTTCATACAAACCCAAGTGAAAGCATATTAGATAACGCTCTTTGGGACAAGAGCCACCTGTAATCTCCTTTAGCTAATTGCAGTGCATACTTGGTACTTTCAAGATAATAAAATGCTTTCATTAATATTTGTAAAATAGGAGGGTTTTAGAATTGGAGACAAGCTATGGGATTCGTTTAAGGGAAGAAAAAAAAGAACTAGTGTTGAGAATATCTAGTTTGTAGGCCCCAGATAGCTAGGATCTAGCAATTCCTTTTTCGTTTTCTTACCACCATCTCCTTAACCTCTAAACCCCAGTTGAACCCTTTCTCCTCCCCAGTGTGGGGAAGAGAGGCTGTAGTAAATTAGTGGAAAATGTTCTAATTATAGTAGGCAATAATAAACAGGCACAGATAACTCCAGTTTGCTTGAATAGGTAGCTTGCTTTTGTTAATGTCCTTGGAATAATTTTGATGGGAAGAAATTAGAGTTGAGAAACAATCGCTCCTTCATAATAAATGAAAAATCTAGAATCTAGAAAACAGTGTAGAAAAATCAGCTGTTTAACTACAGTGTAGATAATGCAAACTCTAGAGATTACTCTGTTGAAAAAATGGCTTAATACTGTGGACAAAAAAATCCCTTACACTGCATTATTATTCTTAAATTTAAATCTTTTTTATTTTTTATGGTCTTATTTCTAAGTAATCTCTACACCCAGCATGGGCCTCAGTCCTACAGCCCTGAGATCAAGAGTCTCATGCTCCACTGACTGAGCTTGCCAGGCATTCCTGTATTATTTAATGAGATAAAATACTGTCTCTCTCTTTTTTTTAAGATTTTATTTATTTAATTTGACAGAGACACAGCGAGAGAGGGAACACAAGCAGGGGGAGTGGAAGAGGGAGAAGCAGGCTTCCTGCTGAGCAGGGAGCCCGATGCGGGGCTCGATCCCAAGACCCTGGGATCATGACCTGAGCCACCCAGGCGCCCCTAAAATACTGTTTCTAAGGACCATCTTTTCTACCCCTTTATCTTTCAAACCCTTTATGGTGATTGTATTTGTGGTAAGGAAATGCTAACTCTGTGTGTGGACCTCATGTATCCACTTGGGTATAGTATTTTAAATTAGTGGGTCTCTCTCCCTTTTGAGCATAAGAGTACTTAATTTTATTTTATTCTTATTTTTTTAAGATTTTATTTAGTTATTTGTCAGAGAGCGAGTGAGCACAAACAGGAGGAGCGGCAGGCAAAGGGAGAAGCAGGTTCCACGCTGAGCAAGGAGCCCAATGCGAGACTCAATCCCAGGACCGTGGGATCATGTCCCAAGCCAAAGGCAGACGCTTAACCCATTGAGCCGCCCAGGCGTCCTTAAATTTTTTTTTTTAATTTAAGTTTTACTCAATTAACATACAGTCCAATATTGGTTTCTAGAGTAAAATTCAGTGATTTATCACTTACATATAACACCCAGTGCTCATCACAAAATGTGCCGTCCTTGATACCCTTCACCCATCTATCCCATCCCCCCACCCATATCCCTCCATCAATCCTCAGTTTGTTCTCTGTCATTAAGATTTTCTAATGGTTTATTTCCCTGTCCCTTTCCCTCCCTCCTTCCCATATGTTCATCTGTTTTCTTTCTTAAATTCCACATAGGAGTGAGATCATATGATATTTGTCTTTGACTATTTCACTTAGTATAGTAATATATCCACGTCCTTGCAATTGGCAAGATTTCATTCTTTTTGCTGGCTGAATAATACTCCATTGTAACTTTTTTTTTTTAATTATAAACCTGTAAGTGATAGTAGACTGTACATAGTGCCCCAAAATACATTGTACATACTAGAAATTCATTAACACTTTTTGTATTTTCTTAATTACAGTAACATTTTTTATGCATTTGAAAGGTACTGTGTACACTGAATTTATGCACAAGACATATTCTTTCTGAAGCTCATGCTTTAAGTACATATGGATTCATGGACCCATTGTAACTGTTTGAGCTCCCAATGAGGTCCATAGTTTGGGAACCACTACTCTTAACCCATTATTTCTGTTATGTTATATAAAGGTACAGTCTGATTCCTTTCTTCTTTTCCCTTCCTTTTTCTCTTAATGAACCATAAGAAACAGCAAGATGGCCAAGATTTTTAAATTGTTTTTCATTGAGTTGATCAGCAATATTTGAGGTAATAAATCAGAAAAGTGTTTTTTTAATACTGGTAAAGGGTGATAACATTTAAATATTTATGTATAGGTATATTTGAATTTTTTGTGTGTATAATTAGTGAGTTCTACCTTCATAAAAGAACCAACAAGTAGTTGTTGTGGCAATGTGAAATAATTACAAAGGTGTTTTTCTTTTAAAATATTATGTTAGGGCCTCTTTCTTTATGATAATGGTGTTCTCGGTGAGGATTTTCCTTCTTTAAAAACTGTTAGTTTGAAAAACCTGTGATCTCAGTTGATATTCAGAAACATGCTATTTAGGTTAATCTAGAATGCTGTGGAAATTTTGAAACAATTTGACCTTTTATTGGGAAAGGTGCCTTTTTAAAAATGGAGTTTGGGCATTTATGCAAAGAGGTATTTGGGATTTTGTAAAATGGTAAGAGAACCCGTGAATTTCCATTCTTTCATTGGTTATTTCTAGTGTTGTCTGTTTTGTATTGTTCTTGAATGTGCTCTGAATTTGTATTGAATGTTAATGATGGACAGAAATGCAAATGCTTCTTTTAAATTTGTCATTGACACTCTTTCCTCAGCATCCCTTCAATAATAACCCAGGGATCCTTGAGAACTGGAAGAATACACTATCGTTTTTTCAGCAACAGATTGATACTGCGTTACCATAGGGAGTATTATTGTAATACGGATTTTTTTTCATCCTTTCAGGGTTTGAAAGTATTCTTGAAGGGCTGTTTGGACCTGCATTATTAAAAGATCTCAGTTTATTTAAAGGTATTCAAGTTCTTTATTTTTTCTTTTGGTATTTCACATTCTTCCTGGTGACATATATGATACTTTTGTGATTTAAGCCTCCGTCTCCTTCTTTTTATTCAATTTTATGTGAGTTAAACATATCCCTGTAAGCATCTTTTTGTGTTTAGTTGATAATGCAAATATGTGTGTTAATAAGGTCTATTAACTAGTGAGCAGTTATTAAGAATTTTAAGACAAATAAGGAATCTGTCTACCACTACCACTAGGGTTTTGTTTTTGTTAAAATAAATATTTTTGATGTTCTCATTTGTTTCCTGAAAAATTCCTTTTCATGACTGTTAATTTAGTATTCCAACTATTTTTGCAGACTGTGAACCTGAAAACATTTCTGATTGGACTTTTGATGAAAATTGTCTATTCTGTTGCTTGAGAAGAGATAAAGTAAAGGTAACCAAAAAACTTGTGGAACTTATCTAGCGTGGTATTTTATAGTTTTTATTTTTTCAAAATTTGATTACTTTGTTGGAGGATTTGTAGGAAAAGGAAGGCATAATTCCATATTTATTTATAAAAGATTTCATAGTAACTCAGTTTTGCTATTTAGACTTTCTAGTATGTTGATTAGCCTATTGAGAAATTTATATCCCAACATGCATTGCTTTATTTATACAGTTCACTAGGCAGAATAATTAGCTAGATCTCAAACTGTTGGGTGTATTTTAAATATGAAATATATGATAATTCAAGCAATGGGAGTCATTTGTACAAAAAGCAGTAACATGGATCTGGATCAAGTAGTTACTAATTCATGAAGATTTATGACAAACAGTGGTTTATGCTTTAGTATAAGATGTTTCTTCATACTATTTGAGCATGAATGCTGTTTATATTCAGTTGTAGAAATTGGCTGTACTTTTGGGTTTCTGTTTTTATTGCTTTGTGTTAAACATAAATGGAGTTTGGGTTTAGAAACATTAATTGTTGGAAATATTTATTAATAATGGTTTCCTGTCTTATGTTTCTTTTTATGGTACTTCTGTTCCCTGTTTTATTTAATTTTATTTTTTTTTTAAGTAGGCTCCACGTCTATCGTGGATCCCAGTGCAGGGCTTGAACTCATGACCCTGAGATCAAGACCTGAGCTAATATCAGGAGTCAGATGCTTAACCGACTAAGCCACCCAAGTGCCCCTGTTCCCTGTTTTAAAGCTTTGGAAACATTTTTAATTCCTTCCTCCCCCTTGTACACTTGTAACAGGATCATTGGCCAGGTTCTATAAATTCTTCCCTCATATGGAGTTTCAATTTTTCTTTCCACAGTCATTACCGTAGTTCATACCATTAGCATTGTTTCTAGACTACTGAAATAACATGATCGGTCTCTTTTAGTTTACTTCAGTCTTTTAAACACTGCTACAAGTTTAAACTCCTTCCCTCCAACCCTCGTCCCTCAAATAGTGTGAAAACATTATTGCACACCCAGTTTCCAGCAACTTTTTTCATTGTATTCTGGATTTTTAGCCTAATGTTCTGTGCCTCAGTACTCTCCACAGGTCAGTCCACTTCTTTTCTAATGCTGCCCTCTTTCTAATGTTGCTTCTGTACAGTTTTTTTTTCCAGCTAAACTAGTGCAATCATTTGTAGTAAACAACACGCTTTTACTACTTAGACTTAGCATTGCATAGCAATTGTTCTTTATAGCTTGAAATTCCCTTGCCCTTACTCTTAGCTTAAGCTTCCACCCTCCTGTCAGTATCAATTGTATACCTCTGCTCTTATTGCTGTTTCAACCCTTCACACTGTTGTAGTATCTGTAACAATTATTTGTCAATTAATAGTCTGCCTTATTTTGTTCCTGTTTTTCTGTGTTTGTGTCTTGTGTTAACTACATCGTCAGCCTCTGAAGACTGTGAACCATGTTGTATATATTCTTTGTTACCCCTCCTTGTAACCACTGTACCATTATTTACCATTGTTGGCAAGTTGCTTTAAAATCTGAAAGCCAATTTAAGAGCTCTTCAGTGTTCTTTTATGGCTTCCTTTTGTTGCTTACTACATGAAAGTTATTGTGACTGTAGAGGATGGTCTGTTATCATTGAATTAATGTGGAGAGTGTTTTGAAATTTAATGTGGTTTGAGAAAGACCATAAATTAAGCAAGTATCAGTGAAGTTGAAGTTGGTCATTTTAAACTGTGTGTGTGTGCATGCATATGCATGCATGTTGTGACTATTGAGCAAGTCATTTAATTGGCATTTTGGTGGAATAGAAGGAGCAACTATTAATTACCTCTTTTAGGGTAGGATTGGGAGGAAAGCCCTTCTGTGTTCAGTAATTGAGTACAGTATATTCTTGTAGTATGATTGAGTTTTCCATTGCTATATGAGGGTAAAATATTGTATGAATATTTTTAGAAGACAGAAATAGCAAGGCGTGGAACCATGTAGCATTTAAAACAGCTGTTATTGTTTTAGTTCCTCAATTTCTATTTGCTTTTCTAATTAGAATATTTCCATTTGACAATTTACTTAGTTCTGGGAAAGCTGATATTTTCCATTAGACACTTCACTATCTTTGGAATTTATTTTTTTCAGAGACAGCCGTAACATCTATTGCAGAAAATAGGAAAAAAGAGAGTTTATTAGAAGATGTAAATTTGTCAAGTATGTATCTCTAATTGTGTTAGACTTAAAGTGATTGAACTGAAACTTTTTGAAGGCACTTGGAGCATCTCATCTGAGAAGGACTAGAATGTGGAAATAAATATATCCAGTGGGTTGAATCTTGTAATTTTTAAGGCTGGCTTTAAGAGTCCAAAAAAGGAGGAAATCTCTGCAGAGTATGGTACTAGCCAATAGGTGGCAGCATAGAGCATGATAGTGGCATCTTGAGTTTGAGGGTGGTGGCATGATGAGATATACAGGTATTTGGAAAAGCTCTTAGAAATACTGGTCTGATGGTTGGGAAAGAAATGGAGGTTATGCATATTTTTTCATTTTGGACTTTCAGTAGATACCAAAGCTGTTAAAGTAAATGCATACTGTTTGTTTATATTTACTTTATAAAATATGTAGGTAAAAAATACAAAGTAGTCTCTTCGGAAAATAGAACAGGCGTACACCTAGAGATTAGTAAAACAATTGTTGGTCTACCCTTCAGGGTTCTGTAGTGGTTAGAAAGCATAAATTTTTTTTTAAGATTTTATTTATTTATTTGACCGAGAGAGAGAGACAGCGAGAGAGGGAACACAAGCAGGGGGAGTGCAAGAGGGAGAAGCAGGCTTCCTGCTGAGCAGGGAGTCCGATGTGGGGCCCCATCCCAGGACCCTGGCTCATAACCTGAGCCGAAAGCAGACGCTTAGCAACTGAGCCACCCACGTGCCCCAGAAAACACAATTTTTAAGGGATAGGGAAGTAACATTTTTTTGAACATGCACTGTGTGCCAGTTACTTTTATTTGTTCCCATTTAAATACTCACAACAGTTGTATAAAATTGGTTAAAGGCATACCAATTTTATTTTATTTTTTATTTTTTTAAAGATTTTATTTATTTATTTGACAGAGAGACAGTGAGAGAGGGAACACAAGCAGGTTTCCTGCCCAGCAGGGAGCCTGATGCAGGGCTTGATCCCAGGACCCTGGGATCATGACCTGAGCTGAAGGCAGACCCTTAACGACTGAGCCACCCAGGCGCCCCAGCATACCAGTTTTAAAAATAAGAAATTGGAAGGGTTGCAGAGACTATTATAGGCAACTTCACCTGGCTGGAATTTGATCCATGTTTTTAAAATACATGCATTTTGATAACATAACTAGGAACAGTGTCACAGAAAGTGGAGAGCAGGAATTAAAGTAGAACTTGGAATGATTCAGTTTGAAAGAGAGAAGAGAAATAGAGTGTAGATGGACATGAGTGTATTTGAAATAGCCAATCTCAGCTGTGCCTAGAAATCTATGAATGAGTACCTGCCTCACTAGCTGCCTTCTTTCTTTTCTGTTTGTTGGGCACATACTAGGCGCTCGGTAAAATATTTACTAAATGAGTACCTTTACTAAATAAGGCTTAGTAAACTTGAAGAATTATATTAATTAATAACTAACTTTTGAGTCCTTACATGTGACAAGCATGTACCCACAGTTATCTGTGTTTATTCATTTATTCACTCATGAGGCTTTTATACTTTTTTAGCTTATTTTTTGAAATAATATTAGACTTATAAAACAGTTGCAAAAACAATAAAAGGAGTTATTGTATATCCTTTACCCAGACTTTCCAAATGTTAGCATTTTATGTAACCGCAATATAATTATAAAAATCAAGAAATTAACATTGGTGCCATATTATTTAATCTGTAAATCTTTCACAGGTAGCCAGTAATCTCAGTAATGTTATGTTTCTGGTCCAGGATCCAGTCTAGGATCACACTTTGTATTTAGTTGTCATGTATTCTTAGTCTCCTTTAGTTTGGAATAGTATTTTTTGCTTTGCCTTTCATAAATTTTGAAGAATACTGACTTTGGTTTGTAGAATGTTCCCTCGATTTAGGTTTGTGTGATGATTCCTCATGGATTTTAGGTTATGCATTTTTGGCAAGAATTCCACAGAATGATGTATCATCCTTAGTGCACCCTATCTGGAAGCATACAGTGATGTTTACCTTGATCAGTTAGTTAAGATGATGTCTGCCAGTTTTCTCTATTGTAAGGTTTCAGTTTTTCCCCCTTTCATACTTAATAGATACCTTGTGGAGAGGTACTTTGAAATTTTGTAAATATCTTTCTCATCATATACTAATTTTAGCAGCCATTGATGAATGTTGCTTGAAAAAATTACTACCTAGAGTTTACCAAATGATGATTTTCTATTATTTTGCTTCTATTAGTTGGAATTCTGCTCTTAAGGAAGAGCTTTCCCATCTCTGTATATATGTATTTCTTTGTTTACCTATCAATATGGAATCATGGATTCTTATTCTATGGATTATAATTCATTACAATCATTTTTTTTTATTTTGTAGTTCAAATTGTCCTAGGTTTGGCCATTAAGAGCTCTTTTAAGTTGGTTCCTCATCTTTCTTTGACATGTTTCTATAATTTTTTTTAATAGCACTTCTTTTCTTTTTGGCACCAAAAATGTCCCAGACTTATCTTTGCTTTCTCTGTCTCAGCTCTGTATTTCTCCAAGGAACCTTATTTTCTTTTATTGTAATAGAAAGCAAGGTCTAGGCACTAGGTGTTTTTATTGGTACTAGAGGGTCATTACGTCTAGGTCTCCTCAGTTGTCTGAGCTAGGAAATGCATATTTTTACTTAACTGTGTGTACATATACATCAGTATGTCTATAGCTACTAAAAACCATCTTGTGAGGCTTTTAGTAATTGTGTTTATAGTATGAAGGCTTGATCCAGTAGTAGTGAGAGGGTGTTGGAGAGATAGGAAGATTGCTGAA